AGACCTGCAAATATAAGTAGAACGAGTGTGGCAAAAGAAAGCAAAGATAGTACCAATAATAATAGGCACCTTGGGTGCAATCCCAAAACATCTGGAGTATCACTTGAAGACCATCGGCATTGACGAAATCACCATCAGTCAATTGCAAAAGGCAGCTTTACTTGGAACAGCTTACATTCTGCGACAATACCTTTAACACCATCAGACAATGACATCTACCTATCCCAGGTCCTTGGGAAGGACTCAATAGGATAAAAATGCAGTCTAAATATCTGGCTGACTGTGCGACAAACAATAATAATAATAGAGCTAGTTTGGTGCAGTGGTTAAAGCATCAGGCTAGAAACTGGGAGACCATGAGTTCTAGTCCCACCTTAGGCACAAAGCCAGCTGGGTGATCTTGGGCCAGTCACTTTCTCTCAGCCCTAGGGAGAAGGCAAGGGCAAACCACTTCCAAAAAACCTTGCCAAGAAAAAACTTCAGAGACTTGTCCAGGCAGTCTCAGGGAATCAGACATGATTGAACAGAGATGTAGTTAGAGAGATAGAGATAGATCTGCTTTAAGAGGTGCATTAGGAACTTGGTTGCTTTAAAGAATAAACTCATTAAAGTAGCCACATTTGTCAGGCTGACATGGAAGCTAGAAGAAAGAAATGGCTACTTTAATGAATAGCAGGCACCGTGCTACTACAGGTCTGAAGCATTTCTTCCAAATCGTTTTCACAGAATGAAAATTCTTCCCTTAATGGAAGGAGGAAACATGCCATCAGGATAAGTCCTTGAGGTTGGGAGGGCAGATTCTTTATTTTATTTTGAATCACCTGGAGAAAAGTCTTTTCCACCTCATCCATAAGGGGGGTAAGGGGGTGGGAAGGACGGAGGGAGGGAGGCTGGCTGGCTGGCTGCTGGCTGGAGCATTCCATAAAACTATTATTCAACATCTTTCTTTGCTTCCTTGCCATTCCACTTCAACCACTTGGTCACTCAACAAAGTGAAATTAGAACCAAAGAAAATGTCTTCTCATTTGCCATACAGTAATTTCTCCTGCATTACTGAAGAATATTCCAGGGTGGGCAGCTTTGGAATTTTGAGAATATGTTATTCACATTGCCATGGTGGGCGATTTACCAAACACCAGAATTAAAATTAATAAGGTTGCTCCTCACTACCCATTCTAGCTCCCAAGCATACTTTCTCTTTACTAGCTTACTATAACTTTTTTTTCCTATGCAGGGATAGGCACACTTTGAAACAAAGCATTGGGTTACAGTCATCTATTTTATTGTTTAAGAATGCCAATGGAATCTATGTAACATATTGTTAGAAAAACAGATTATGGCTGAGATACTTAATGGGAAGCTAGGAGGCTGTAAAGCAAAGAACCAAAGGGTTCTTTGTTTTGCAGCCTCCTAGCTTTTCATTTATTAAGTATCTAATTAAAGGAATCTTTAAACAAAAGTCAACTGTGGCAGTGAGCCTGGTGGGCAGAAAAGGAGATGTTAATGGGCACATTAGCACTCACTGGGGACTAGGCTCTAGGGACTATTCTCTGGAACATGCCAGAGTCTAATGAGACACATTTATGTCAATACACTTATTCAGCTACTCTTCTAACAGCAGAACATTTACAAAGTGTTCTACAGATCTGGAGGCAAGAAAAAAACTAGCATAGGATGCCATTTTAGCAATGTCTCATTATAGTAACAATTGACAACATCCTGGGAAATCATAAATATTCTAACTCAATAAGCAACACTTATATCTTTACTAATTAGAACACTCTCTAAGATTAAATCCTTGAACCACTCAAGAAACCTACAAAGATTATATTCTTGCATCACTCAGAAAATGTTATCTATGAAGAGAATATCAAAACATTCTAGGGTTATTTCAGAATGGACTGCATATGGTATTTAGTATCACACACTCAGCCTTTGCTTGGCTAATCACCTGCAGGTTCTTGAGGAATACATTTCTTCCAAACATCTAACAGGGCACCATATTCCTGTATGTATAAGCGATTAACACAGACTGGCATCTCTTTAAACTCTTGGGAGCCATTAAAAAAACTTGATCTTTTTGACACTATCAACTTTGAAAAGCTTTGAGTCTTCAACCAATATGAAGTTGTTCTTAGATCAGACACCCTCCTTCATCCTTAAACTGAACACTTTCAAAAGTTCCCAGAGATACTTCTGCCTTAGGAACACTATTCCACAAAAGAGGGATGGCATTTACTTAACAGGTGCTACTAGGTTTAATCCTATTCATGTATAGAGAACATAAATCTTCAAATGATCATTCTTAAGATGATAGTATTCCTAACTTGTGGCCTTTTGTAATCAACTCAGAAAAAATATGCAGAGTAGTCTTGCAGCATCCAGGCATTTTTCATCATGCAGTATAAGATATAATTTCCCTTTACTTTGGATACAAAGCCCTTCAGTGAATTTTATAGCATAAGTAAGATGGCATTGGGGAGCAATTGCCTTCTGAGACTGGGGCTATCTTCCTTGGGATTTACTGTTGTTTGTCATCCCAATATTCATTGTGTGATGAACATTTGAGCAATAAACATTTTGTTATTCTCAAAGGAAGAAATTGAACTAAATTCATCTAGGGCAGGGGTTCCCGACCTGGGGTGCCCGCACCCCAGGGAGTGCAAGATAGAATTTAACGGGGTGCAACAAAGAGTGGCTTGTGTCCCTTAGTGACAAGTCATCATGCAGCCAGTGTGCCTTGAGCAGGGGTAGTAGGTGGTTGTATTGCATAGATAGTAGTCTTGCTTATTTAATCAAAAGGAGAGAATAACAAAATTAACATGTAGGGGTAATAGGTGGTTGGATTGCATAGATAGTAGTCTCGTTTATTTAATCAAAGGGAGAGAATAACAAAATTAACATGTAAGTAAAGTAAATAACTGTCAGAGTACTGCTTTTAAAATCATTATAATGCAACATCTGACATAATCATTGTATATTGTTTCACTCATAAATTCACGATCGCGAGAGTTCGTTAAGTATTTCACTCCTCGGGACCTCTTAGCTCGCCTGTCGCCTCTGTTCACCCACACCGTGCCTCCCTCCCTCACTTGAATTCACTCAACCAATCCCATGCTTATCCCCACTTTGTCCAGCCATTCAAATGCGTCCCTCATTGTCACTGACTTCCCCGTATATAATGCGAAAGACTGAGGAACGCGGAGGAGATAGGAGGTAATGTTTGTCCTGAGCACACTCCACTCTCCCACTGCCCAAGTCAAGAGAGACATTCTGTTAGCCCAATCTATTCATTCACTCATACTAGCGAGGTGTGAGTTTATTGATAGTGAAATTGACCAACCACACAGTTTCATTCACTTGTCCAGAAGTTACTCCCACGTAAATTGTGGTGTTGGTTGAGTGCGCCATGACACAGTGTTCATCACAAATCTCATCACTCAAGCAGCACATTTACACAAGTCCATGAGTACAAGTGTGTGAATAATAATTATTAGAGGAAGTACAGTTGTGATATAGGCTTTACTTGGTGCATCACGCCTATCCCACACTGATATACGCACAGTATAATTATTGTGAGCATCAGGGAATAAGAAAGTAGCCTAATTTGTGTCGCATCCCTGTAACATTTCCCCCTGATGATTTATCTTGGCATAATGCAGGTAATATCGTAATATAAAATTTGAAAGCATATTTCTTGCAATACTTTGCTATAGGCTTGCCTGATTGAGTAAAGCGGTCATCCGAACTTAGATAGTTTTTCTCATGTTAGCTCATGTTGTACTCTTTCAGTTTTACAAATTAACCATTCATGTCAAAAAGAAGGAAATGGAATGATGACTATGTGTGCTTTGGTTTCACTTGCACAACAGGAAACAATGGTTTGCAAAAACCTCAGTGCATTCTTTGTAGCGTTGTGTTTTCCAACTCAAATCTGAAGCCATCCAAGATTCAAGAGCACTTCAAGAACAAGCATAGCAGAGTTAATGTTGAAGGACATGGTGTTGGGTCATTGAAAATCAAAAAAGCTCATTTTGATTCACAAGGTACTCTTCCGAAATTAGGTTTCATTTCTGTTGAAAAACCACTGCTTCTTGCTTCATACCAAGTGGCATATAAAATGGCCAAATCCAAGAAGACCCATAAAATTGTGGAATATCTCATCAAGCCATGTACACTGGAAATAAAACAACTATCCTGGGCAAAGAAGCAACAAAAACATTTGAACAGGTGCCCCTATCAAATAATGTCATTCACAACCGAATCAGTGATTTGAGTGAAGATATTTTGGACCAAGTCATCTCAGATGTCAGAGCTACCTCTCTTAAAATCTGTATTCAGTTGGATGAGTCAACTGATGTCTCCAGTTGTAGTCAATTCATAACATTAGTGAGGTATGTCAGTGATGGTGCTGTGAAGGAAGATTTCCTGTTTTGTAAAGATCTGAAAAAAAAACCATGACTGCAAAGGATGTGATGCAGCTGGTGAAAGATTTCTTTGCCAAACATGATCTAGATGTCAAAGTCATTGGTTCTGTGTGCACAGACAGGGCTCCTGCAATGCTTGGAAATAAATCTGGCTTTTCTGCATTGATGAAAAAGGAAATTCCAGATTTGCAATTTACCCATTGTTTTCTTCATCGGAATGCTTTAACATCAAAAGCATTGCCTCCAAATTTAAAGAAAGTCCTTGATACTTGTGTGAAGATCATCAACTGGATCAGGGGGCGTGCTTTGAACCATTGCATCTTCAAATCATTTTGTGAGGATCTAGGAAGTGAGCACTCAGTTTTGCTTTTCCACACAGAAGTCCATTGATTGTCACGAGGACAAGATTTAACCCACTTCTTTGAATTGTGGGAAGGAATCAATTTTTTTCTGGAGGAGCATGAATGCTATCTGGTTGGGGCATTGAAATCACAGGAATTCAGCCAAATGCTGGCTTACTTAACTGATATTTTCACTCATATGAATGACTTGAGTGTTTCTCTTCAAGGAAAAGGGATAAACATATTGAAGGCTCGTGGAAAGTTGAATGTCTTCAAAGAAAAGTTATGTCTTTGGTGTTGAAGGATAGAAAGAGGCAGTCTCTCAAATTTTCCTTCACTAGAAGAGATGGTTGATGATGCTGGATCCATAACTCCTGCTGTGCATGAAGAAATGCTGTCAGAATCATTTGATGGATATTTTGCTGCTGGAGACCTGAAGATTTCAGAAGAATGAATCATAAATCCATATTCCTTCAATTTGGAGAAAATGTCAGGTGATGAAGAGCTGAAGGAAGGTCATATTGATTTGTGGACAAATTGAGCTCTTGAAGTACAATTTAAAAGCAAGACTTTGGAGGAGTTTTGGTGTGCAGCACTGAATATGTTCCCAAGACTTAGTGGAAAAGCACTCCATGTCCTCATTCCATTTGCAACAACATACTTGTGTGAATCTGGATTCAGTTTTCTTCTGTCAATCAAGACAAAACCTAGGAATCGCCTGGATCCACAAGCAGACCTGTGGATCGCAGTCAGCAAGGAAGTTCCATGTTTTGACAAAATCATGAATGAGAAGCAGGAGCAAAGAAGTTGTTGAATTTTATGTTCACAATTGGGACTGATTTTACCTTTTACAATTTTTTCCAAATAAATTAGAATCGCTCAATTTATATTTGCATTTTATGCACTGAGTTAAAAGCTTATTTTTTTAAGTTCAATTTGTTCACCCGCAGTATTGCATGTGGTACAATTTGTGGTTAAAAAATTAGAAATTAGACTGCTTCATCTTCACATGTGATATTACTTTTGTAATATACCCACTTTTGTAGGGGGTGCAAACATTAATCAAACGTTTCCTAGGGGTGTGGGGCATAGAAAAGGTTGGGAACCACTGATGTAGGGCATATACCACATTAGAAACCTCCTAGACCAGGCTGGACATCTAGTCCAGCTTTCTGCATCACACGGTGGCCAACCAGATGAATTCAAAAAGCTCACAGGCATGGACAGGAGGGAATAACTACAGTAGTTGGTTGTAAGGTACGCTGCCATTGATTCAGGAGGTAGTAGTCATAAAAACTAATATCTCCTGACAGTCCAATCATCCAGAATTTGTCCATTCCCATTTTATAATTGTATATATTAGTGGTCCTCACTATACCTGATGGGAATTCCATAATTATGCATTGTGAGGTACTTCCTTTATACTCCAAACTAAAAAGCTGTAATTCCTGCAGAATGTCTTCATAAGGGAAATGCTCTGGCCTCTAATAACTGTGGTTGCACCTTTGCAATATTCTTTTTAGGGTGCATTCATCAGAACTGTACACAGTACTCCAAATGTGGTCTCATCATAAAGTTATACGTGGACATTTACAATCCTATGGACCCATTATTTTAGGACATCAAGGGAAATTAAAATGGTTCCTTCCTTCTTGCTTTCTCTCTTGATAACTGGAAAGAACTAAATATGTGAACAAGTACCTCTTCGAGCAGCTTTGCCTGAGGATTACGGGAAGAACCCCAGGATCTCTGGATTGAGTATAAGGCGATTGTTTGCTTTCTAGCTCTGGAAGATGAGCTTTTGCTACTGTTAACTGTCCTCGTTTATTTCACAAGGCCAGGAAGGCAGAGATAAATCCAGAATTTATCTGTCTTGAAAGAATTTGAAAAGTTTACTGTTTACAAACATAGTGGTAGTAAAAATACAGAGCAAGTATTACAATATCTTACCTTGATACTTAGGAAAAAATACAGTTATTGATGTGCCAGGTTATAATAAATACGCTGAGTACAGCATGTATTTATAATACCGAATAAATGTACCATTCCTTCCTTCTTGCTTCTAGTATGTTGTCCTTAAATACTTGTAAGTATGGGGAAGTTAATTTATAAAACAGTGATAAAAACAAAGACACATCTGGCTAAAACAGTGCCTTAAAGATCCCTTTCCTGCATGAATAGGATGGGAGTAGGAGTACCTCTTATCTTGCTCAGGGAGTATACTTTGGATTATGTACATCTAAGCAGCCATAAAATATTCCATCTCTGCAAAACAGTCGGCAGTCTTGGGAGCTGGAAGAGGTGCTGAATTCTAAGGGGACAGTTTACCGATCTGTTGTCTAAACTACCCAATACTGGAAAGGGTTTTCTTTCTGCTACTATTTTCAATATGTGCTTAAGGTATATAATTAGTAAATGCATTACGTTACTACCACAATGATATAATAATGTATACTTGATGAAAAATATTAACGACCATTTACCTTTTTTTTTTAAGGTCAAATACATATTTTCGGACAAGACAGGTACCTTGACGTGCAACGTAATGCAATTTAAGAAGTGTACCATAGCAGGAATATCTTACGGGTAAGTTTCTTTCTTAAGTAATTGCTGGTTTTATATTCTTTGCTACCTTTTTCATTAGAGTTGGGCATTCAGGAATTAACAGTTAAAAACATAAGCACATCGAAGAGAATCAGAAGCCTGTGATGCATGACTGTTTCAGTGCCTAGGTTTTACCGTTAAGTCAGTAAACAGTTCATCTGCTCACCCATGTAGCTTGATTGATCAAACTGGGTATTTTACACAGCTGTTTTCTCACTTTTGAATAAATTAGAATTAAGGATTGGGTATAAGCAGTTGTCTGAGACACTTCACAGTAGCTGTGAGATATATACGTTTCTCCAGTGACACAGTCCTAGATATTTCTATTCAGAAATCAGCCCTTTTAAGTTCATTAGGACTTCCTCAAAATAAATATCTATAGGATTACAATCTCAGTGTCCTGATTTAAAAAAATATTAAAGTCCTTTAAAATGTAAAATATAGTATTTTATATGAACTATTGTACTGGTTAAACTCGAAATCATTACAATTGCTGAAACGAGCAGTTCGTTAATTTTCTATGGAACAGTTAAGTCTATTAAAAGAATAAAACAAATTGGATACTCTTGAGAAATTGCTTTGTTATGAATTTGCATGTATATGCATGCGTATAAGCTTGCGTATATACTAAGTATAAGTATAGCAGTTCGTTAATTTTCTATGGAACAGTTAAGTCTATTAAAAGAATAAAACAAATTGGATACTCTTGAGAAATTGCTTTGTTATGAATTTGCATGTATATGCATGCGTATAAGCTTGCGTATATACTAAGTATAAGTACTTAGAAATTCTTAGAAGTTATATAGCACAAATTTATTAAACCCTGGGGGGCTAGTAAGATGTGCAATTCTGCAAAGAAAAAAAAAAGAACATTAGCCACATAACATG